GAGAGAGAGAATCTTAAGCAGGCTCCACGCCAAGTGAGGAGCCCAACGTGGGGCTTGATCTCACAGTCCTGAGATAACCTGAGCCAAAATCAAGAGTTGGATGCTTAACCAACTGAGCCACCCAGGAACCCCAAAACTAAATTTTTAGTAGTGGGCAAACAAGAGAAACCTTAGTCATCCTCTGAGGTTGAGAAAAATTGGGCATTTTAATAAAAATCTACAATTATGTTGGGAAAGTGAAACTTTCCAATATAGATAAGGCAATTTCTAATGAAGCTACCCTCTCAAATTAGCTGGGGTTAGGCTCCTTCATATAGTACGTGGTCAAATTTGATTTTCTTTCTATCTAATCCCTCTGAATCCTGTTTGTTCTCAGTCACACTCAAGGAACTAAACCACCTCAGCAGAATGAATAACTGATTAGAAGACTAAACAGAAAACAGGAAGGCAATTTACTCTCCTGAAGTATAGAGATACAAAACTATCTAGATTCTTCCCACATCATTGACAGAATGTGAATGAATCAATGATACAGATTATAATGGGCCTTGAACAACTCTTTTTACTGTGAGGCCTTTCTTAAAGCAAGGTGGTATTGTCATCTGTTCTTCCAGTTAAAGCCATAGTTTTGTAAAGATATGGATATAGGAAACACAACTAGCTATGCAGATGCTGCCGAAGAACTATGTTAGGTAATGACTTATGACACTAAAATGATTATACTCCTGGAAAAGTGTTAAGTAGTTCAGAAGAACCAAAAGATTATGTTTAACAAGACCCACATAGGTATGACCAAGGGGCTTTAAACTGAAATCAAAGAATAAAAATAATCTTCAGCTAAAACTGCAGTAATAATATGATAGGAGAAAAAACAGAGTGGAAGAACTAGCAGGTAATTATTAAGAGGAGAAATATGAACAAATAGAAAACAAATCCAATAGCTTAAAAAAATGTGTTTATAAAGAGCAAAACTGCAATATCAAAATAAGTAAATCTCAGGGACTGTTAACACTTAGTGGAAAGGAATTCATGAATGGGAGCTGGCATTTGAAAGGAATGTCTTACAATGTTTTACAATGGAAAGTGGAAGATACCTATAAATCAATATACATAAATATATACATATGGAGATTCTTGAACATGGGATAAAGGAACCCCCCCAATTCCCTGGTCAACTGAGGCTAAAAGAAGGCAAAAGTTGTATTATCAAATGGAGTTTGGTAACCTAACCAGATGGGAGGATTTAGATCAGGCTTTCATAAAACATGTTGCAAACAAGTACAAGGATAAGATATAGCCATGATGGGGACATCAGCTATTCACATGTACTGGCAGCTTAATTTTGCTCAAATTAGAGCATCTGATAAATTCTTGTCACATGGCTGAAAATTTTATCCTCCAACAGATAAAGGATGTAATGAAGGGAATTGATTTAACTATTTCATACATAAATTTAAAAAAAAGCCAAAATTGAATGATGATGCAGAAATAACAGGAACTCTGGTAGTGACCATGCCAAGGAAAGACAATCCTGGACATTGTCAAACATGCAACTACATTTGTGGTTGGATATTTTGACAGTCACTCATGATATTCTTAGGAAACAGGAAAAATAGTGGACTTATATATGACTTAATAACCATAATCCAAAGAACAATGACTGGCAGATTCATATCAACCTTGAGGGAGATCTCTAGTTGGTCTCTTCTTGATCTGGTCCCACAAAACATTTAAAAACATTTAAAATCAGTGACTTGAAGAAACAGTAATATATCTAAATGTTTCCAGGTGACACAAAGCTGGGAAGGAGAGTTAATATGCAGGATAAAATAGTATATACAACACGTATTGATTGAGCACCTTTTATGGGTAAGATGTCAAAGAGAATGCAACGATGAGTCAAAATACAATACTTCCTCTCATGGTTCCTTTTCAACAGGGGCAATAAAAATATAAATGATCAAAGAACAAGATATGACGTGTTAAGTTCCATTAAAAAACTTAAGTGATTGGACAGATCACTGAAGGGAGATATTACTTCTAGCTTTAAGTGTTGGTGGGTTCAGAAGGAAGTGTTCATAGGAACATGTCAGATGAGTAGAATTTGGACATGTAGTAATCAAGAGAAGGGGAATCTAGATTCAGAAGTGGAAAAGTATGGAACTAATATTGAGAAGGGTTTGTGGTTTTGTCTGAAGAATGAAATGCAGGATAGGGAGCAGAAGGAAACAAAAGTTGGGTCAGAAGATTCTGGGATTCAGGTTGGCACAATAAACTGAAAACAATAAAATTAAATGAAAGTTGGATGAAGCTTTTAGGATGGCAGTGTAAAGATGTTGCTCCCCTTTTTCTTCTGGAAAATTACCCTCAAACAATTAGGCAAAAAGAAATAAAACACAAACACTAATTTTAATGACAAGAAGCATGTATGAACCATAACACATGGAAATTAAAAGCAGATAAAAGAGTGATTGAGGACTTAGCATAGCAAAGGAAGGCCAAATCCATGTGCCAGAAGAGGGGATACCACAAAGAAGTAGCACTTCCAGAACCTTGGAAATGTTTAGGAATTAGAAACACACGTACCAAGGGCAAAAGAGAGGCAAAGGACTGAAATAATGAAAATTGGGTTAAAAACAGGAAAGGTCTAAAGCAGAATAAATTGAGCCCCTACTCATACTCAGTAACACCAAGCAAAAGGATAGACTGAAGCTAAGTGCCAAGCAATGCCATAGAATTAGATAGTTAAAAACAAAAACAAGAGCTATTATTTCTTAAATGTTTTAAAATAAAAAGTATTTTAATGTTATATAGGGTGTAAAATATTTTTAAATAGCTCTTAATCAAAACAGCTATTTTTCAAAATACATATGCTCTAGCTCCAAATCCCAACTTTAGAGATTCTTATTTAGTATGGTAGGAATCAGTAACATGTTTTGATAATGTTTCTTAGTCTGAAAACCACTGAGCTGGTGTAAAAAATAAATCTGTTACCAAAACCTATCAAAAGGTAAAATGGCATAGAGGAAAATGTAGGCATTTTCATTTAGAGGTAAATACTATTTGCCAGTTATTGTTCTAGGAATTGTACAGTACACAAAAAATTCCTTACCCTCATAGAGTTTGTATTTTAGTGATAGAAAATACACAAAGTATGTAAAATAGGTAGTATTTTATATCTTATTGGCCAGTTATATGAAGAAAAAACAGCAGGGAAGAGGTAAAAGGAATGGGGTCAGAGAGAAGGTAATATTTGAGTAAAAATATGAAAAAAAGTAGGGGAACAAACCATCAAGATACCTGGGAAAAAGTGTTTCAGGTAGAATAGCTGAGGTAAAGGGCTGAGACAGGAGATTGTCTATATGTTTATTCAAGGAACATCAAACCAGCTAGGAGAGCTGGAGAAGAGTAAATGAAGATATGAGATCAAAAGGGTAATAGGGGAGCTAAATTGTATAGGATCTCATAGGCTTGTGAAGGACTTTGGCTTCTATCCTTTATGAAATGGTAAGTCATAGGATTAGAAAAATGAATATTTAAAGAGTCATTTACACACACACGATATATTTATGATTCTGAAAAACAATGGAATTTGTCTAAGTAATTAACAACAAAAATAAAAATGTCAAGTGATGTCTGGGAACCTTAGCTGGCTAAATAAATCTAGACATTTCCTAATATAGTACCTTAAAGTGAGTGTATAATAAATATTTGTCAAATAAATGGACAGTAAATTTATACTGAAAAGGAAAATAAGAGCTTTTAAACTTTTTAGAAAGTCAGAAGCACTGTATTAATATAACAATTATCCTAAGATGTAGTCTTTTATCAAAGATTTCACGGCATTCTTGTAGATATCATCAAGTAGATGTTCCTATTTCCTATTTTATATATGTTAGTCAAGAAAAGACTAAATAAAAAGTCTTCCAGAGTCATTCTAAAACTTTTCCGCTTCTGTTTGAAAGAGTAAGACAGTTTTTTTAACAGTTCATATTTTAAGCTTAACAGAGCTTTACTGGGTTCTAGCTTTAAAAATTTATTTATCATAATTCATACTCTAACCCTATTTTATTCTTATAAAAGAACATTATATATTTTCATCTCAAAGTCTGGTTTATTTTTTTCTAAAGCTTAGAATCCAGGGTTTTGGCTGTCAATAAAGAATTTTGAAAGTGACAAATTCATTTCTTCTGACAGCCAGGAAAAGTGAATGTATTTTCTTCTCCCCATTGTCATTTCTGTTGCTTCTAAATGAACTAATCTACTCTTTCTGACTGTCAGATAGTATTTGTTCTTAAATTATTGTGATAAATAATATCATGGAGAGCAAAACAAAACTGTTCTTCTTTAATATTAGTACTTCTTTTGCTTGATAGAATTTTAGAAATACATTATTTTTTTTAATTAACCAAAAAATGATGAAGAGCTAGGTCCTTCAACCACTGCAACAGGACTTTCTATCAAAATGAAAAGAAATTAACTTCTGGTATCAGACCATGTAATGATTTCTCAGAAAAAAAAAAATTAATTCTGAAGTCATATAATATTAAAAGCTCTACCTAAATGGCCAAGAGACTTAAGCTCTTTTCTATGACCAAACCACTGAGGGATGAAATTCAGAATAAATATACACAAAACTCATTATTTGTACTAGCATACAGGAATTAAGCTAAAGCCATATGATTTAAGAAATAGTCCACTTTCATTCCTCTGATACATCCAAGATTTACTGATAACTTTATGTAAAGCAAAAAAATTTACATAGATTTATATTAAACTATGTTAATTTGAAGTGTGAGATCAATTTTAACTAGAAAGATTTGACCTCTGTTTACTTTTTATCAGGGCATTAATTAAACATAAGAAAGAAGTAAGAGGGTCGAAAACTTGGTCACTCGGTTTAGCAGTTTTCTCAGATATAAAAAATAACAATGAAACCTCTAGGGTTAAGAATTTCAAATGAGGCTGCTAGACAGAGAAGACAGACCAAATCAGCTTACCACTTGAACCATTTTGAGATATCTGGCATATCTTGGATCCTTGGCTACAGTTAAGATATTTTCTGGTGTTACTTCACTTTCCTGTGGTCCAGAGTCTTGTAAACTGTTCTGCTGTAGAGAGTATTGCGTGTAAATCTTTAGACAATTCACAGAAGGGGTCCATTATGTTACTTAAAAAGGGATGTATCTTTTTTATAATTCTAAAGCAATCAATATCAGAAAAAAATCATATTTCTAAATTTAAAAACCAATAATTTAATTATGGGATATATGTGTCCAAATATTTACAAATACTTAAATATGATTTCAGAGGAAGTTCCACTTAGTATCAACCTATACTGTTCCTTAAAAAATGCAAATATATTCATGACATTAAAAAATAGAATTCTGCTTTAGTTGTCCCCAGAGTGCCAAAAAACACACGAATTATAGATGGACATATTAATAAAAATTTTAATAAAGCTAATAAAACTATTTCATTTGTCAATTGTTAACTCTAGCAGATAGTAAATTGATTTTCTAGGTATCTACCATCTATACAACTCAATTCCTCATTTATTAAATAATTTTACTCTAAGTGTATATGGCTATTCTATCATCTTAGAAAGCACTACATGGAGAATCTGTGGAAGAGAAGCCCATTTTTTGGACAAAATTATCTGGTTTTGTATATTTCAGCTACTGATGGAACTATTAATGTTAATCTACTTACACTAAAGAATACTGGGGAATGGTCTTTTTAGATAAAAATGCTTTTATCATATAGGCAGTTCTCATTTTGCATGGTACTCTGTTAAATGAAAATTGTCCATATTGGAATCCTGTCCTCACTAAAGTGCAATGTTAGAACTGTCTGTATACAGTTCTTGCTTTTTCTATCAAACTGAACATTTAGAGTAAGTTTACTTTTGTGAATTCTCACTCCTTATCTATAAATTAGCATTACAAGGAAGTTCCTTAACAGAATGAAATCAATTGTATGTCTACATGTCTATGCTGAAATGTAGATAAATCAAGAAATACCTTTAAATATTCATAGGTTTTAGAATATGAACTATGTATTAAGGTTTTTCCTCAGATAATCCAAATATAAATTAAACCTGTTGAAAACTCTAAACCAAATAAAACATCCAAAAATTCCTTAGGTTTCTCCTGTTATATAACACTAAGTATACAAAAGTGAGTAGCCATATTAATATATATATATATAATTCATCTTTAAAATACATAAATACAAAAAGTCCAAAACATTTAATTAAATAAAAAAATTCAAACAAGACCCAAGTATGTTTTTAAAAAAAATTATGGACAATAAACTCATACAATAGCACAATGGAACAAATGAGAATTAATTATACATAGGACTAACGAATTTCAAAACTCAGCCTTAACTTTGCCTAATAACCAAGATCTCAACAAGGTTTAATTATGTCAGCACTTACACCTTTGCTATTTGAATGACCCCTTAAATCCTCTATCATATCTCTCAACTGTCCTTCATTTTATTCTCAATCTCCACAATTGGATGTTCTATTGTGAGTAATGATAAGATCTGAACCATGAAATTAAAGTTGCAGAAAAATCAGTACGCAAAACTCGAGTCTTTGACTCGTACAGATTAGAGATTGAAATGAATGAGTGATTTAAAAAGTACATGATTATCTTTTATCAGATAAGTGAGTTGACTGTAATGCTGGTGGAAATTCTGTGTTAAGCAGCACTTAAGTCCGTTTCAAAATATTTTACATAAAAAATAACAATGGAGAAGAAAGAAGAAGTTGATTTGAATATTAAGAACATGCTGAACAGGTATCTTATTAAGTTACTCAACATGTAACTTGACCACAATTTTTTAAACCCAGGAAGCCAACAGATCTTTATAAATTCTCCAAGTGAATTAATATATAGTTTTTAAATAAAATTGCCAAAATATACCAGATTATACTGAATTTTAGAAAATTTAGCTGTGATTACTTGTAATAAATTTTTTGAGACCTTAAATAGGTAGGACCAACACAACTGCATAAGTTTTAAGATACATATTATAGATGGAATTCATAATAACACCTGAAAAAATTAATATTCAAAATTAGACAGATACCACTTAAACATAATGATGGTTAATATCCACTGAAGAATAACTACTAGGTAGAGTGAAAACATTTTCTTAGTATTTTTTATACATGCCTTATTTTAGAAAAAGTATGGTCCACATTTAATTGAAAGGACCTTATGATGTCTAAAACATCTGGATTTTTTTCTTGTATATTATATATATATCCCAATGGCCATCATAATGCAATTTGGTATATTAATTAAATGAATGTTAAATTTTCTAATATCTAATTGTTAAGTAAATGGTCATCTATTTCATTCCCCCAAAACATATTATACCTAAATTTATGGCTCCTCCCATGGCCTCATACCATGTGTGTTCAATATACTGAATGAATTCAACACAGGTGCTGGAGACAGTGTAGTGTCGCAGGTAAGAGCTAGGACTCGTGGCACTGGATTGCCTGGGTTAAAATTCCAGCTCTTACACTTGTTCTTTTGACCTTGGGCAAGTAACTTAACCTCTGTGTGTATCATTTCACACATCTGTGAAGTAGCAGTGATAATATAGTATTTACTTCATAGGGCTGTTGTGATAATTAAATGAGTTAATTTCTGATAAGCACTTAGGAGCATGCCTCGGAGGTACACTGTAAGCGCCCTCTGCATGTTTGTCATTATCATCACAGCCAATGTAATCATAACCTAAAAAATATCCTGTGAAAAGTATCTCCAGGTACAAATGCAGAATCTCATATAGCTAAGAAGTCAGTTTGTTCAGTATTACTAGACAGACCACTATTTTAGTGATTATTTTATTTTGAATTTTAATGCCTCACTGAGATACACTACTAGAGACGGTCTATTCTGCAACGAGAATTTTTATTTCTTGACATAAAAAGTAGTTATCAAATTTAAATGTATACAGGGCATAAATGAACATTAAGACATAAGAACCAAATGTAAAGCGTGGCCCTTATTAGGATGCTGATTTGAACAAATCAACTCCAAAACCACATTTTTTAGATACTTGATATTTCTAGATCAGTATCTCTCATTTAAGAGTCTACAAGTCACCTAGGGATCTTGTTATAATATAGATTCTGATTCAGTAGGTCTGGGATGGAGCCTGAGGTTCTGTGTTTCTGACAAGGCCTCCCAGGTGATGCCCATGTTGCTGGTGTCTGGAGCAATCTTTGAGTAACAAGGGGTTGGATGACATTTGAGAATTACTGTTAATTATATTGTGTATGATAAAGGCACTGTGGTTATACAAGAAAATGCCAGAACTTTTTAGAGATGCTCAAGGAATTACACAGCGGTGAAATGATATGATGCCTGGGATTCACTTTAGCAAGCGATAAAAAGAAAGATGAAGCAAATGTAACAAAATCTTTACTGGAGAATCTAGGTAATGGGCATTTAGTTCCTCATTGTACTATTCTATTTTTGTGTGTGTTTGAGGGCTTTTATAATAAAACATTTTAAAAGTATCCTTCTTATAATAATGTAGGAAAAATGTCCATAGTGAACTTGAAGAACATTATTATGTTCAAGATTTCTCTTAGTCCTGTGTATAGTTCTCTTTTACAGGCAAAGAAAATATTAACTTCAGGGAGTTCTTCAAAATAACATAAAACAGTTAACTTTTTCAAACTTCCTTTTCTATCTCAAGGTTTTAAAATGTTACTATTCAAAGTTTTACATCCTTATTTAACTTCTTTCAAACCTGCTACTAGGTTTGTCTGGTTTAACCAAGAAGATCTGCTCATGCTTCCTGGAACTTAAATACTTACCTGTGATTTCTCTGAAGTGGTTTCAGAATGTGATTCTTTTGTGATACCAGTGACACTTACAGGAGATACTTCAAATGTGACATCATCTAGGCCTGGGATAGATGACAACTGAGAAAAGAAAATTAATGTTGGCATATGAAAATAATATTAGCTGCTTAACTGCTGTAAGTTTCTAAGTGTAAATTTTAGATAGCTATCTTAAGTTTTTAAGCCTACAGGAATAGGGTTTATAAAATCTCATCTTAGGTGTCTGAAATTTTCCATGCCATAAACTATTTAAAAGTGAAAGGCATTCACAAATAAAATATTTTTTTAATAATTTCTCATAAATCTAACGTCACTCGTAACCATTCTTTTCCCATGAATTATTTTTTTTAATTTTATTTTATTATATTATGTTAATCACCATACATCATTAGTTTTTGATGTAGTGTTCCATGATTCATTGTTTGCATAAAGCACCCAGTGCTCCATTCAATTTGTGCCCTCTTTAATACCCATCACCAGGTTAACCCATCCCCCTACCCCCCTTCCCTCTAGAACCCTCAGTTTGTTTCTCAGAGTCCAAAGTCTCTCATGGTTTATCTCCCCCTCCGATTTCCCCCCCTTCATTTTTCCCTTCCTACTATCTTCTTCTTCTTTTTTCTTTTTTTTTTAACATATAATGTATTATTTGTTTCAGAGGTACAGGTCTGTGATTCAACAGTCTTACACAATTCACAGCATTCACCATAGCACATACCCCCACAATGTCTATCACCCAGGCACCCCATCCCTCCCACCCCCCACCACTCCAGCAACCCTCAGTTTGTTTCCTGAGATTAAGAATTCCTCATATCAGTGAGATCATATGATACATGTCTTTCTCTGATTGACTTATTTTGCTTAGCATAATACCCTCTAGTTCCATCCACATCGTTACAAATGGCAAGATTTCGGTTTTTTGATGATAATATTCCAGTGTGTGTGTGTATATATATATATACCACATCTTCTTTATCCATTCATCTGTCGATGGACATCCTGGCTCTTTCCACAGTTTGGCTATTGTGGGCATTGCTGCTATAAACATTGGGGTGCACGTACCCCTTCAGATCACTACATTTGTATCTTTGGGGTAAATACCCAGTAGTGCAATTGCTGGGGAGTAGGGTAGCTCTATTTTCAACTTTTTGAGGAACCTCCATACTGTTTTCCAGAGTGGCTGCACCAGCTTGCATTCCCACCAACAGTGTAGGAGGGTTCCCCTTTCTCCGCATCTTCGCCAACATCTGTCGTTTCCTGACTTGTTAATTTTAGCCTCCCGGGAATTATTTTAAAAAACATAAGGAATCCTAGTGTAAGAAATAAAAGCATGGGCTTTGGAGTCAGATTGCCTAGGTTTAAGTCACAAGCTATGTAACCTTCTGTAAATCTCTCTAGATATCAAATTTCTCCCCTATAAAATGGGGATAAGAAAACTTACCTCATGAAGTTGTTGTAAAAAATTTTTTATTAAACATATTTTGTAGAAAAAAAAGTCCTTTGCAGCACATTTTAAGTTTGAATTATCTGGGAACTGACAAAACTCTTGTCATCACATTTTAATGTCTGACATAGCTCATTATTTTTTTCTTTCTTTAATCATTTACCACCAAATGTTACTAAAATGTGTTATTTTTCATAATAAAAGATGGGCATGCTGTCAGTGGTTATGTATTTCAGGTTGGATTTGCAAGACCCAGGCAAACCCTCTTTTCTGATTTCATTCTGACATCAGTGATAGACAATTGTCAGATGTTTGGCTAACATGAGGGATTAATTTTATGGCTATGGAAATAATTAAGGCTAACTTGTCCATACAGTATCTTAACTTGTGACTATGGACTCTAACTCAAGAATTCCCCAAATATTAAAATAAGGCACAAACTCATAATGAAGAATGAAAAAAAAAAAAGAAACAATGGTAATAAGATCTGAAGCAGCAATATTCATTGAGAACTGCTGACTGATGACAGTACTTAGCACAATGGCCATGGCCCAAATAGTTTCGAGTAGGTATGGCTGCTAGCAGAATATGTTCAACATGGTCAAGGCCAGGTATCCTAAATTTTCCAAGCTACAGAAACGTTCTGATAGAAATACAGTGGCTGAAGTCCACAAGATATAGAAAGTACAAACTAGACATTCTGATCCTTATGCTAAAGCTTTAGCCATTTTACTTCCCCATAAATATTAAATACGTATTTTTTCAGATTAATTTTTTTGATAAAAGGACAAAGTCACAAAAATATACTAGTGTCTCCATTATCTTATAATGAGGGAAAACACAAAACTGAAAGCTTTCACATCAAAACTCTTTTCCATTTTTGCTAGTTATAATATGTAATTTCTGACATCAAAATTGGTATTCTTCATTAGCATTCAATATATTTGCAAATAGAAAATAGCTGATATTTTCTCCAAATTTTGCTCTGGAGGCATCTGAAGTTTTATATAATTTTTACTGTGTTATCAAATGATTACTATAATTGTGAATTTTCCATCAAATGAAGTGAACTACAGAATACCCCAATTTGTTAACATTTTACTCACATGTTTTTGACTAGAATAATGAAATCTCAATTCATGTGTACATTTAAACAAACTCAGTTAAGGGTTCATAATGAGTATCATTTTCTTTGCATTTTTTAATTAATTAAAAATAAACAAAAAACACTGTACCACCTCATGGATGCAGGAGCTAAATTGAATTCATTCCCAAATGCAATTAAAGTTAAGTATGACTAAGAAGGTGATATATGTGGAGCAAAGTTTATACTATAAATTATTCAGAAATACAAACCTTTGCATCTAAAATATTGAGAGTTGTTTCAATTTGCTGGATACGAAGAGAAAGGTCTGCCAGTTTCTGGAAAAGAAAGATTAGAACATAAGAATAAAGTCTGACTGAAATGAACTGTTAACAGGATAACAAAGGGCAGATTTGAAAATAAAAAAAAACTATGGTTTAAATATTAGTCATTTTCTAATACACTATTCTCTTATTTACATGAGTAGGAATGGGAGCTCAAGAATTCTCTTATCTTCATTAGCATGTTTCATGGCTACTTTATAAAACTGTATTCACAGGTAAGCAAAAATTACCTTATCAGCCTTATCAAAGTCATTATGAGAGCCATAACCAGTCATTGTGACCGGAATGTAAACTTCTTCCAGAACAGAGATTTTTGTTCACTGCCATATCCCCCATGCCCAGAACAGTACCTGAAACTTAACAGGAGTCTAATAATTATTTGTTGATGAATGAAGGAATTCTTCATAGAAAGCAAGAATAAAAATTAGCTCAACACAGGCTGGAACAAGATCTGTCCTTTTAAGTTACTTAAACAAGTATATACAATTAGTATATACAATAAGCCCCAAATTTAAATTTTTTAAGTTTGAAAGTTAAAAGATGATGAAATTAGAAGATGAGTCAGTTCAGGTTGGAAAGAAATAAAACAAAGAGAAAAAATCAGAGTACTAACAAGCAAAAGGAATCAACCTACCATCAAAATCCAAGATAAAACAGAACCAAAAGCTTACCATGCTCTAGTTATTCTGTACAATTACCAGTATGTGTGTGTACTATTTACAGCCACACAAGTAAAAGTAACATCATAAAATATGATCCATAAGAGCATTTACTTAAAACTCCTTAATCCTAAACATTATTATACTCAGTGATACAGTCCAAGAGCAGTTGCCCATTTACTAGTTGGCAGATGTGCAGCATTCTGACTGCTTTCTAGGATATTATCAGGATCCTGACTAACTCCTAAGCAGAATTTTAACACCCCAAGAAATGGTCATTTTGCCCACATTTAGAGGGGGAAAAAAATGAAAGCAGCCACAGTAGAGTTAGAGTTTCTTCACAGACACTTTAAAGATGAGCAACCTGGTATCTATAAAGCTATAATTCAGAAATGAAACATTAGACTCTAGTTTTTTAAAAACATTTTATTTATTTTCGAGAGAGAAAGAGAGAGTACAAGTGGGAGGGGCAGGGAAGGAGGGAGAGAGAATCTCAGGCAGACTCCATGCCCATTACAGAGCCCAACTTGGGGCCAGATCCCACAACCCTGATATCACAACCTTGACCAAAACCGAAAGTCAGAGGCTCAACCGACTGTGCCACTCAGAACCCCTAGAATCTAGTCTTAAATGGCACTCAAAGCTAAGTTTAACTTTGATTTCTAGCATTTGTTCACATAAGGCTTTAATGTAAACATAAATACAGGTTTATAAAACATCATATGAATGAATTCCTCTCCAAATTATAAGTGTTTTCCTGGAAATCATGAAAATTAAATTTTTGCAAATTTCATCAGTCTTTTAATTCATCAGAGAAGCTTAGCAACTGCAGAATTCCTACAACAAATTAATTTGTAAAGTGAGATAATTTCTAGCTTATCTAAAAATACTTATATTGGTTTGATTAAAATAAACACAGAAAAAGATGAATTAAAAATTAATATTTGTTGGGGCACCTGGGTGGCTCAGGCGTTAGGCGTCTGCCTTCGGCTCAGGTCATGATCCCAGGGTCCTAGGATCGAGCCCCACATCCTGCTCCCTGCTCAGTGGGAAGCCTGCTTCTCCCTCTCCCACTCCCCCTGCTTGTGTTCCTGCTCTTGCTATCTCTCTCTGTCAAATACATGAATAAAATCCTTAAAAAAATTAATTTTTGTTTAGATATATTTATATAAATGTACTATTATTTATTTAGACAGCATGCACCCTTAAAGGGGGTGAAGGGGGAGGGGCAAAGGGAGAGGAAGTGAAAACCTTAAGAAGGCTCCACGCCCAGCAAGGAGCCCAACACGTGACCCTGAGGTCATGACCTGAGCCAAAATCAAGAGTCAGATGCTTAACTGACTGAGCCACCCAGCCGCTCCTATATAAATGTACTTTTAAGCAATAATCACCATCATTGTAAACATCTGAGCAGTTACCTTACTATGCTACACTGTGTATGCAACATATCATTTGAAATCTCACACCAAATGTATAAAGCAGGAACTGTTATCATGCCAATTTTAAAGAAGGGAAAACTCAGTTTTCATACAAGTAAAATAATCTGAATTCAAACACTCCAACTCCAGATACTATTTTTGAAAGAATTTTACATTGTTTGAAAGAATTACACATTGTTAGAACATGATGCCATAGACTCTGGGTGATGACAATGTGTCAATGTAGATTGTAACAAATGTACCACACTGGTGGGGGATGTTGATAATGGGGGAGGTTGTGCTCTGTGAACTCAGGGATGCAAGGAGTATATGGGAACTCAACCCCTTCTGCTCAATTTCGTTGTGAACCTAAAACTTTTCCAAAAAAGATAAAGTTTATTAACTAAAAAACCGCCCCCAAAACCAAAACCAAACAAAAAAATCTCAAAACGTAATTAAAAAGACACCAAGATGGAAAATTCCTAGGCATTGCATAGATAGAATTTTTGTTATTCAAAGCTAATAAGTAATCAATCCACTTCTCACAAAGACTAAGATGCTACTGTGCTAAAAAAAGGAATCAAATTATTCTGATCTAATTTTCTAAAATAGATGTTGCTTATCTGGAATTATTTTTAAAAAATTTTCAGGGTTAGATCATAAAACTAAATTGTCCTTAAATGGGTACTCAAATATTCACACAGGATAGGTTAAGGATTTTAACACAAGACTTGGCAAATAAGCAAATAATGATGAAAATGTTTATTTGGAAAACTGCTTGTTCATAAGGAAGACTAAAGAGGCTTGGAAAAAAGGTTATACTTTCTAGAGCAGTAATCCTCAATTTTTTTGGATACAGATTTTTCTAGTATATCACCCTTTTGCTTTGGCACTCATTTTACCCATTTTCATCTATGATTATCAAAATCTCACCAAAATGAAATGACCTGTTTTTTTTTAAGATTACATGAATGATTTATTCATGCAAGACATTAACACTGATCTAAATGTCAATATATTTTAATTTATAATAATTTATTTCAATATCTTTGATATCTAAACTAAGAACTGTAATAGTGAAATATAAGGAAACAGTGAAATAAGTGTTTTTTTTTTAAAGATTTTATTTATTTATTTATTGGAGAGCGAGTGAGAGAGAAACAGCATGAGAGAGGAGAGGGTCAGAGGGAGAAGCAGGCTCCCCGCTGAGCTGGGAGCCCGATGTGGGACTCGATCCCAGGACCCTGGGATCATGACCTGAGCCGAAGGCAGTCGCTTAACCAACTGAGCCACCCAGGCGCCCAATATAAGTGATTTTTGTTGACTAAATTTTTTAAAGATTTTATTTATTTATTTATTTATTTATTTATTTATTTATTTATTTATAGCATGTGAGTGAGGGTAGGCACAGAGGGAGAGGGAGGGAGAGAATCTCAAGCAGACTCCACAATGAGCATGGAGTCCGACATGGGGCTCCATCCCACCACCCTGAGATCATGACCTAAGCAAAAAGCAAGAGTCAGACACTTAACTGACTGAGCCACCCAGGTGCCCCTTTGCTGACTAAATTTAAAGAAAATGTGAAATTGAAGTTAGAGGTAAATAAAAATAAAAATAGAGGTTTTTTTCCCTATCCAAGTTCATGTACCCCAAGCTTAGAACCAGGATATAATTGATTTTCTCGAAATCAGATCAACAAAAGGCTTTTCCTCCTGGCTAGGGAAGATTTTTGTTGTGGATAAATTGTATTATTTTATTATCCATAAAGGTATTATCCATCTTCTCTAAGGCTGGATTTTGAGTCTAAAATATTAAACATGTTAAATATATTATCTGGATTATATAATTTAACACTTTTTAAAAAAAATATTTTATTTATTTGACAGAGAGAGGCTCAGCGAGAGAGGGAATACAAGCTGGGGGAGTGGGAGAGGGAGAAGCAGGCTTCCCGCCGAGCAGGGAGCCAGATGTGGGGCTCGATCCCAGGACCCTGGGATCATGACCTGAGCCGAAGGCAGCTGCTTAACTGAGCCACCCAGGTGCCCCTAATTTAACACTTTAATATAGAACATATTACTATATCACAATTTTGAGATCTTTAAAGTACGTAATTGGTATCTTTTGCAATCCTACACATTTTATGCATTTAAAAATATTAATTTCATTTCACTGGACTGCCAAAGGTTCCATGGCAAAATTAAGAACCTCTCTTTTCTTCTTGTTTATTTTTAAGATTTATTTTTTTTTATTTATTTGGGAAAGAGAGAGAGAGCATCCAGGGAGGGGCAGAAGGAGAGAAACTCAGACTCTGTGCTGAGCAAGGAGCCTGATGTGGGACCCGATCCCAGGACCTGGAGATCACGACCCAAGCTGAAGGTAGACACTTAACTGACTGAGCCACCCAGGTGCCCCAAGAACCTCTGCTTTTCAAAGATAATTCAGCATAATGAATATTTTTGGGTCTGTTCCCATGTAATTATTGCTATAACATACATAAATACACATTTTTTAGAAAGCCATTGTTAACTTGACAAAAGTATACCTGGCTTCATTTTTGGGCTGTTGAAGTTCATTTCTAAGATTTTTATGCCTCCTGCGTTTTCCGTCTACAACTCCAAACCACTCAACCTTGGCTTTATTGACATTTTGGGCTGGATAATTCTTTGTTGTAAGGGGCTTCCTGTGCACTGTAGGATATTTAGTAGAATCTCTGACATCTACCCCACTAAAAACACCTCTAGATATCGCCAAATCTTCCCTGGTTGAGAACCACTGCTTAAAGTGTAGATGACTATGGATACAAGTAACATGATCAATGACAGTAACTGTCCCCACCTCAGAAAGTTCTAGCAGAAAGAGGAAATTGAAAGATAACAGTCTTTCCCATCTACTTAACCATCCTCTTATCTTTGTAAGGATTTAAATTTTTTTCTTTGTAGATTTTATTTATTTATTTGAGAGAGAGAGACAGAGATAATGAGAGAGAGCACAAGTAGGGAAGAGAAGGAGAAGCAGGCTCCCCACTGAGCAGGGAGCCTGACGCGGGGCTCGATCCCAGGACCCCCGGGATCATGATCTGAGCTGAAGGCAGACACTTAACTGACTGAGCCACCCAGGCACCCTCTTTGTAAGGATTTAAAGCAAACCTGAAATATCTTGGTTTGGGAGAATAAGGGAATTTGCAAGGTACCTGAAGTTTGCCAGATAAGCTGAAAATTTCTTGATTTATCACCCACCTATTTCTAAGGCAGTGCATTTTATTAAAGTGAAAAAGAAGATGAAAGGAAGAAGTATGGAGTTAATAGTTGAACATGGAAACAAAAATAAAACGCTTTTCAGGTGTGTTAAATATCCAGTTTGCATATCCAATTCTCTAAAAGAGAAACAACATTTTAAAATAATGGATCCCTTGGTATATCACACTGGGTTGAATATGTCTTATAAGCCAGAAAGGGAAGCAATCAATGGTTTTATTAATCTTCATCTGACACTTAAGCCCAGCAGTTGTAAAAGTTGTAAAAGCAGCTGTAAAAGTTGTAGCAGTAAATATAGTTTTAAGCAAGATTATTTGGTTGAAGGTTAAGCCCAATGGTGGGCTTAAAAATTCGATGCAGAAGATAAGCACTATAAAATTTTTTAGGTTATATGAGAATTCTCAGTATTTTTTCCTATTCTTAAAAAATTCAGAAAAAAGAAACAGTTTGGAATATTTAAAAAATTATTAAAAACTCCCTATTCTAGGCATGTCACAAGTCTGAGTCAAAATAACACATGTGATTGCCCCATTTATAGAATACCTCTGACTTTAAAATTCATTATAAGGTTTAATTTCTGCTCAGTTTTATCTGTAATATGCATAGAACTTGCATTACACTCCTCACCCCATCCCGTTTTAAATTTGCAGACCCAATGGACCACCATAAGATTTTTCTGATTAGGGCCAGAACAGAAATGCTTACTGGGGATTTCTGAAGGAAGAACTTTGTAACTTGGGTCTGATTCAACTACTTTCTTTCTTTTTTTTTTTTTTTAAAGATTTTATTTATT